CGTCCGACTTGTCGAAGGAGAATCGCAGGCTTTGGGCTTTCGCCCAGGCTTCTCCCTCAGATAGCTGGAACTCGCGCCCCAGCTCGCTAATCGTGGCAAGGAGGGAAGCGCTCATATCCTTCCTCATTTCGGCAGACAGGCCGTTGTGCCACTCTAACGCCTGACCTTTCAAACACAGCGGAAACACGCGGAGCACCGCATCTTCCCCCTCTTGAGTGGCGATGAACTCTAGGCGACTGATGAACGCCATTACGTCCGTCTCTGCCGGGTCAAACAACATAACGTCGCCAGCTCTTAGTCGCGCTGGGCGGTCGTCACCCTCAGTGTAGCGACCTGCGCTACCGTTTTGCCATGAGGACGAACGGGGTCTGCCGTCCCATGGAAGATCGCCAGTATCACGGGCGGAGCGGGTTTCCTCCCCCAAGTGTGCTGCGGGCGGTTGCTCTCTGCGCACTCGATTTCCGTCCGCGTCATAGGTGAAGCGTGGGGTGTCTGCCTCGCGGACGAAATTGAACCTATCTCTCGTCAAATTTGAGCGGCGGATCCTGCCCCCGAGCGCACCCAACCCTGCACCACGTGGTCCTCGTGGCATTGCTGATGTCCGCAAGGTCCTAGGAGGCGGCTCAAAACCCTCCTCGAATAAGGCGTCGAGCCGTCGTGCGGATTCGGCGAGAGGATCGTCATAATCGGCGTCCGTTCTGTCGACTTGGGTTGGACGCTCCGTTCGTTGACGCTCACGCTGTAGCTCTTGCCTCTGAGCGGCGAGCGCGGCTTCCTCGGTGCGAAAGTTGCCCCATGCTTCTGTCAGTCGGTTCCTTCCGTCTGCCAGACGTTGGAGATTGTCCTGGAGCTTGCTGACGCGTTCATCGACGAGGGTGGCACGCTCGTCCAGCTGCTCTTGTCGTTGGTTGAGGTGGCGCTCGCGTTCGTCTAGCTCGCTCTCTCGCTGGGCCAGCTGGGAGTCCAGCTGCTCGAGTTCTTCGATCGTGTCTAATACGGCCGCTTCGTCAGGAGAGGCATGGCTCTGGCGGTTGAAATCGTCCAACCTTGGAGCTATGGACCCCATCTCTTTGGTATGCTTTGTGGCCTCCGTGCCGAAGGTCTGTAGCCAATGACCTTTGGCATCCTTCCATTCCGCGACGGGAGCCGAGTTTAGGGTCGCCCTTAACATCGATGTAACGCCTGGCGGACACGCATATAAAAAACCCTCTGCTTGACGCGATCCGTACAGCGTGATTTGATTCTTGACACTAATGTTCCTCTGTCCGCGTTTCTGTCAAGATTTCCGCTAATCTTGACAGCGGGTTTTTTCCGCTGTCGCCTGCTAGGTAGCTCGCCAAGCGGTCCTATCTAAGGGCGGACTCC